AAAAAAAAACTAGAATTTCTCGTCTTAGAGAGTACGTTGGCTTGCAGGAGGAGCAAAGGTGAAGATCTGTGGAGCCATTCAGTATGTCAATCTCTTCGGCGTCGCCATTGGTTACACCATTGCAGCTTCTATCAGTATGGCGTAAGTTTCTCAATTTCAGAGTTTATATATATATATACATTTATACGTCATCTGATCATATTGTTGCTTGCTTAATGAATTTGCAGGGCGATAAAGAAGTCGAACTGTTTACATGCAAATAAAGGAAAGGGCGATAAATGCCACATGTCAACCAACATGTATATGATGATATTTGGGATTACAGAGATACTTTTCTCTCAGATTCCGGACTTCGATCAGGTCTGGTGGCTCTCCATAGTTGCAGCAGTGATGTCCTTCACTTACTCCACTGTTGGGCTTAGCTTAGGAATTGCTCAAGTTGCAGGTATACTCGCTCACATCATTTTATTTGTTCTCTATTTCTTAGTTATTTATTCAATGGTTTAGTTAGCAGCAAAGCTGTAAGAAAAACCTTTTTTTTCCTAATCTCTTATTACTTTCATTAATCTAGCTGTGATAGTTTCTTAAATTTGCATTAATATTCTATATTACATAAGAGAAGGACCATTTAATTGAGCTCGAGCTTGAGATATAGCTCATTTAATGATTTAAATTCAATCTGAAGTAATAGGTAATGTGATGACTTAGCTTGTATAACATTGTGCTGGTACCTCCTGCGTACAATTGAGCCGAAAATATTGGTGGATTAAATGTTGGAATTCGCTTAAAGAAGATGAGGTATTAGCATTTTTTTTTTGCCGGAATAACGCCGGAAACGCCGCCGAATTAAGCCGGTTAATATTTTCATACGCGCAAATTACTGTTGGATGCGTTTTCATCGGGAATGTACCAGAAAATAAAAATTTTCGAGATATTTCAGCTGTTACCGGCAGATGTTATCTGCCGGTAACAAGACGGTAACAAGACATTATTTTCCTGTAGTGGTATTATGTGAGATATTAATTTTTTTACCCAAATGGTCTCATATTGGATTGAATATTACAATTTTAACCTCTCAATAGGTCACTAATCCTAAAAGATAATTTTATAAATAAAAAAGTAACAAGACATTATTTTCCTGTAGTGGTATTATGTGAGATATTAATTTTTTTACCCAAATGGTCTCATATTGGATTGAATATTACAATTTTAACCTCTCAATAGGTCACTAATCCTAAAAGATAATTTTATAAATAAAAAATTTTAGATGCTATGTGCATAAGTAGTCTCTATCATAGCTTTACATGAAATGATGCTGGTCCTGGACCTAACTAAAACGCATCTTTATTATTATGATGATCATAGACTCATAGTCATCATTATCATCTTCATCCTCTTCCTATCATGTTGGTGTTAATTAAGTTGTTCATCACTCCACTTTTGAAGGAATAAAATTTTAAAGAAAGTGCTCCATGATGCACCATTAGTGCTGAATGTCAGGTCACAGTATTTGTGGCCCAAATTGATTAGGAGCATTATCTTTTCCATTTTGCTTTTCGTAGCTATAATAAGCTTGATCATATTGTTAAGATAAGCCATTAAATGAATGAGTAGATTTAGGCTTCATTCGGAAAACTTCTTTGTTATTTTATAAAACTTTTTTTAGTTTCTTTTATTAAAAAGTCGTTTTAGAAAACAACAAAGAAGTTATCCCAAATGAAGCCTTAGGTCCAAATTCAGGCATTGGTCGATAAATAAAATATTAAAATATAATTGAGAAAAAAATATAAAAAAATGTGTAATAATTGCATTAAAGAGGTAATTGGAAATACTAAAAATAAAAATTTGATAATTTATACTAATATATTATGATGAGATATATAAGGAGTGAATGAATATTGTTGATAAAAATCTTTGTAACAAGCTACCATTGATATAACCGCATACAAATATAAATTGTAATCACTTTAATTGTGACATGGAACTTGCAGAGAATAAAGGTTTCCGAGGTAGTCCCTTAGGTATCAGCATAGGAGCAATAACCAAAGCTGGAACTGTGACCCCAACTCAAAAGGTGTGGAGGAATCTGCAAGCTCTCGGGGACATTGCCTTTGCCTACTCATACTCTATCATCCTCATTGAAATCCAGGTCATTCGATTCTTCCCCAATCAACTTGGACTTCGTTTGTGACGACTTTTTTATTTCTTCTTAAAACAGTTTTTTAGTATAAAAATTTTAATTTTTATATTAAAAAATTGCTTTAAAAAACAATAAGAAAACTGTCCCAAACGAAACCTTAACATGCAACATATTACTCACTTAGTCATCCTAAAATATAGATTACTCGTCATAATTAATGAAACCAGGATACAATAAAATCACCTCCGGCCGAGAACAAGACCATGAAGAAAGCTACGCTACTGAGCATAGCGATTACCACCTTGTTCTACCTGCTATGTGGTTGTATGGGCTATGGAGCCTTTGGAGATGTTGAAACACCTGGTAACCTCCTCACCGGCTTTGGATTCTACAACCCTTATTGGCTCCTTGACATTGCAAATCTCGCTATTGTCATCCATCTTGTTGGTGCCTATCAGGTATGAAATGTAATTTTATCATTCATGTAGAATTTATTGATATCATCATCTAATTTTTAGATTTTTTTAGCTTTCAATATACTTAATATGTACCATATTAACTTTTCTTTATTACAGGTTTACTGCCAGCCTCTCTTCGCTTTCATAGAGAAATGGGCTTCAAAAAGATGGCCAAATAATGAGTTCATCACCCACGAATATGAGGCAACGATTCCTTTACTAAGCTTCAAGCTGAAGCTCAATCTCTTCCGACTAATTTGGAGAACAGTCTTTGTAAATTCAACTACAGTTATCTCTATGTTGATGCCTTTCTTCAACGACGTTGTCGGCATTTTGGGAGCTTTTGGCTTCTGGCCTTTGACTGTTTACTTTCCAGTCGAAATGTACATTGCACAGAAGAAGATCAGAAGATGGACAGGTAGATGGGTGGGACTTCAGGTGCTCAGCTTGTCGTGTCTTGTCGTGTCACTTGCTGCTGCTTGTGGCTCGGTTGCTGGTGTTATACTTGATCTTAAGAACTACCATCCCTTCAAATCTACTTATTAGCTTTAAATAATAGTAATTATGATGATAATGAATATGATCATGATAATAATCCTCTTGCTTAGTCATGCTTATTACGCGCGCAGGGGTGAAAGGAATAAATGTATGATTAACTGGTTTTGAGGTCTTTTGTGCTAATTTCCTCTCTCCTTTTTGTAGATCAATAAGATGTTTTGATTTCATTCAAGTGCGTTTAACTTTAATTCGAGATCTTATATAAACAACTTAGGTTAGACTAGGATTATAGGATAAGATCTAAAATCAGCTCGTACATGTATATACTTCCATTCAAGGGGGGAGGCAAGCGGGGATACGTGCCCCCCTCAAAAAATACTGAGCACTCGAGGATTTAAAATAAATAAAAAAGTAGTATGTACATGTGGGATTTCATGCTTAGCATTAAGACCACCGGTCAATAAAGCGCGCTATGTTCAAGCCCACATATAGATCAAACAATCCAATCAATAGCATGGCGGTGAACCAAGAATATCCACGACATCACATGCCAACCTATAAAAAAATATATAAAAAGTGTAGGAAATCCTAGTAGATGGTAACTGTGAGCTTCTTTCACTTTGTCGATGGGACTGTTTGGTTACTTGTATTTATAGTGTAATGTAAAATAAATGCAGGGGTTTTGAATTTATTTGTATTTGGTTTGCAGTAGAGTAATTGAGCAAAGTATTTAAATTCATTGGAGAGTGTATTTACTGTGTATTCCAAACCTGTTCAAATAGGGTGAATTTTGAATACCGAACGCTCTCTACCGCAGAAACGAGACACGCGAAAGTGCCTCTTCCTATCTCTCACAAAACCCTAGGTTCTTCGGACAATTTCTGTCACGAAATCCAAGGAAACACAAGGTCTCGCCGAGTCGCCATCGTTCTTCTTTGTGAGCTCTTGCGGAAACCAAACGTGCTCGTCGTTCCTCCTCATAATGTGAGTGGCTTTATCTCTCACGAAACCTAGCAGAAAATCAGCTCTCATGCAAATTTGTTGTGATTGTTCTTCTTCCTCACAAAATAGATTCTTCCGATACGTTCACGTGTCATTCTTCCTTACAAGTTAGATTTTCATTGAGATGGGGATTATTCAATTGTTTTTATCAAAATCATATATACTTGAAGCACTATATTGCAAAGCAAACTCCAAATGGTCGTTTACAAAAGAGTGTTAATTTGTTGGGTTAGTTTTGGGAAAGAAAGGATTTTGATAAAAAGAACAATTCTAAATTTATCATATACACACACACACGCTTTTGAAATCTTTGGCATTAGTATTCTTAATTTGGCCCAATTCACATTATGTATTTGTTATTTCAATTGAAGAACATTTTTTTATACAATTAGATAGGTACTATTTCTTTTTTAAAAACTTATAGATCATTGTTAGTAGCTACAACAATGGATGAACAATTGCAAGATAATGAAGATCTATTATCCAATTTGGATAAGCATTAGATGCCATAGGAGTTGATGAAACTCAAAATTATTCTACAGTGTAGACAGTGGTTATTGCTACATTGAGTATTGTATGCATATTATTCCATGAGATTGAAAGAGAGAAACAAAATATATATAATCCACAATGGAATTTACAAGGTCACACGTATTTTTATAGGTTATATGACAGATCTGGCTCTGCTTATATTAACATGATACGCATGAGGAGACAACCTTTCTTTAAATTATGTGACTTTGTGTGGACACAAAGATTATAAGTAGACACATTTATTGTTTGGATTGAGGAACAAATTGTTATGTTATTATGTACACTTGGATATATTGTTCGTAATTGAGTCATTCGACTTCAACACTCTGAGGAAATTGTGAGTAGGTATTTTAAAGCTACATTATACGCTATAGTGGAATTAAGCCATGAATTTATTAAGCCTCCAAGTCCAAAAACTCCAATAAGATTAAATCAAGTACTATGATTTAAGGAGTCGGTGTATCAAGGTGCTGTACAAAAAGTGAAAGAAAATTTTGGGATAGAGGTCATAACTGAGCAATGCAAGAATCAACTTTGACACCAAAGAACTCTATGGACTCACACTCAGGAGTTAAAAAAGAAATTTGGGGTTCTTGGGACGAAACTAAGAAGATGATATTGATGGGCCCTAAATAGTATGCATCACACATATTCGTACATTATTTGAATCACATCTTTAATAATAATAATATGGGCTAACAATGTGGAGCTTACATTATATTTCAAGCTTTTCCAAAGGATGCTGATTATTTAAATATTCCAATTACAAATTATGTGGAGTTGGAGAAGATATGCGGTGAAGAGTGAAGGGCATGCTACTGGAGAGTAGGCCAAATTAAAAAATTATCAAACTCCACTTGGGACTTAGCAAATATATATAGAAGACAACGACTCCTCGAGATATGCGAAAGCTGGTATATAGATATATCTTTGTCAAATGATTGATCTGATATGGAAGTTAAAGAGGAATCCACAATAACAAAAAGAGACCGTTGACTTCATCAATTGTAGGCAGTGTCTCAAAAAGAGGAGTAAAATACCTACTATTAATAGAAGTTTTCAAGAATATATATATTGTATTGACGACCAATATAATTACTCAAGTTGCAAACGCTATCCATAATACAGCAACAAGAGCCTCTCAAGGAAAGAAAGTTCACTGAACTTATGACTAAGCTATCAACAATTTCTAGATTTTTGAAAAAGGAGATTGATACAATATACACCAACATATCGAAGAATTCGATAACGATACAATCTTTCCTCTCAAAACCTATGGAGTCGAAGGTTAGATGGATGCATAAAGAGCTAGGAAAATGATTTATGTTGTGAAAAATGTTAAAACTTTGAGTTATAATAGTTAGATATTTTTGGAGTTTTTTTGTGTTACATATATAACATTTTGAGCTATAATGCCTTCAAATATATTTTGGATTTATGAAACATTAATGGTAATGTTGAGTAGTCGCAATATTGAATTTACTCTAGGTAGATTGCTCGTTGAATAGTATTATTGTCATTCCATTTCAATAGTATATTTTACTTCATGCTGCACATCATACCAAACAACACCAAAATACAAGTCGAATCCCGTCAAGGGGAGCTGCCCCCTTGGACTCCCGACACATTGTGTAGAGGGGTTATCTAATTTTTATTTAAAAATAATTGTCATTATATAATATATTGATGATATTTTTTAAATGTACTATGTATTCAAGTATAAATAATCATTAGTCACTAAAATGATTAAAAATCTATACAATTTTATTTATAAGTTTGTCCCCCCCCCCCCGTTGACTTCGATCCACTTTGACCACTGATGCCTGCCGACTAAGGTCCTTCAGACCACCGTCGCCCACCGACTATGGTCAACTCCAACCATTGCCACCCACCGACTAAGGTCCTTTTGACCACCATCACTTGCCAACTTCGATCCTTCCGACTATTGTCACCCGTTAACTATGGTCCCTCCTATCACCACGGTCCATCGACTACGGTCCACTCCTGTCACCATCTTCCTTTGATTACGATCTTTCTGACCTCTGTGACCCAAATATAATCCTACTTTCTAAACAATCATGTCAACACTCTTTTACTATTTATGGCAGTTAGACATTTTTTTTTTTGGGACATTTAGGCCATTTAAGGCAAACTCACACACACAACGCATACACAAAGACTCGAACCCAAGACCTCTTAGTTGGAAGTCTAAGCTCTCAACCAACAAGCTAAGGTGAGCTGTGTGCAGTTAGACATTTAAATGTGAATGATATAATTATAAATTAAAAATAAATTTATAATTAAAAAAATAACGTGTTATGAATTTAAAAACATTTTAAGCACAAGTTACTCATTAATTATTATTTACATAATTAATTATATATTTGATGATATATATTTTAAGTTATATTATTTAAGATAATTCTATTAATATTTAATTTCTAATTTTTTAATTAAGTTAAATTAGATAATTAATGTATGCACTAATTATACTATTAATTATTTAATTAATTTACTTAATTATCAATATTTTAAATTATATTAATTAAGTTAATCAATAATAACTTAGATGCGTCTAGGGTTCGGCAAATTATTGCGTCAGGTGACCGAACGCAGAGATGCGTTCGGTCTCTCTCTGCTACAGTAAAGCGCAGGTTACTGTAGACAGAGAGAGACCGAACGCATCTCTCTGTCAGGTGACCTGATGCAATAATTTGCCCTAGGGTTCAGGGTTTGTTTTTCATCTTCTGTTTTCGTTGTTCCTGTTCTGCTTCGTTGCTTCGCAGGTGGTTTAGAGCTTGCACGCGTCGCTTCTTCGACTCTTCGTGGCTGTTCGACTTTGCTCCTTCGACGATTATCCCTTCCTGTCGGATCGGAAGTTACAACATTTTGATCGGAAGCAACAACGGGAGCTCGCTGGCGTTGAAGGTAACTTTATTCCTTTCGCGCACTTCTTCGGCCAAATACCGTAAATCCGCCGAACGGAGGGATTTAGTAAATACGGGATTTAAGCCGTAAATCCTTAAATCCGGGATTTAGCCTTCGCCGGGATTGAACGCGCGCACAAAAACCATTTTGCTGGATTTAGCGTAAATCCAACTTAAATTCCGATGTAAATCCGATACCAAACAGCCCCTTCGCAGGATTTATACCAAATCTTGCCTATATCTGGCCTAAATTCTGCATCCAAACAGGCTCTTGAATTGACGCATTGATGTAAAAATGGAAGGGGATTCCTTGCGTTCGCTCTCCATGAGACCGGCTCGCAGAACTGAGCGAAGCTGCAAGACAGACCTACAAACTCGAGGTGATTTTGAGGTAAAACCTGGAATTTTGTTTGATTTCAGTTCGTAATGCTTTGATTTCGCGTTGCAGATTTCGAAGGTGGCTTCTTTTCTCCTGGGAAGGCTCTTCGAGATCCTATAAGGATGATTTGGCAGCGGGGTTGTATACGCCTGTTCTTGGTGTCGGCGATCGCATGGGTGATGCTCGTTCTAATTTCCTTGCTCTTTCATTTGTGGTCTTGCCACTCTGAAATCAGCTTTCTTTCAGGTGTGTAATGAAGGGAGCGAAGATAAACATTCTATGAATTAGTTGTTTAAGATAAATGTTCTTGGTATCAGCTCTTGCTCTTGCTTCTAATTCTTTAATAAGAGCGACTTAAGTTTTGAACTCCCAAAACAGTTTCTTATAATCTTAAAACATCTCAAACTATGCTGGTAATCTAATTACAGAGAGGCTTAGCACCATTATGTCATCATGCTGGAATATCAGTGACTTAATTCTCCACAGTTGTTTTGGCACTAAATCACTTCTTGCTACATATTCCTTTTATTATTATAAATTACTGCTTGATTTGAGTTTAACATGTACCTTGGTCAGGTAATAGCATAAACTGAGTAGGGAGGTATTGAGTGTCAATTGAAATTAAAGCCTGAACAAAATAACCGTTTTGATGAAATTAGTTTGGTATTGACATCTATTTTATTTTTATGTTAGAATTCATATAGTCTTTTTTGTTCTTGCAGCTCTTTGTAGGAATGATAGCAAGGTGCTTGTGGTTTTGGATGCAATTGGTTTTTCACCTAAGGCACAACACCGTAAGTCTGGGATTGGATTGTTTCATATTTCTTTCAAGAAATGGTAATGTAGTTATCTGACCTTTCCACTGTCCTTTTAGGCTGCTCTATTCCTTTGGCTGATGATCCAGACACCATAATCATTCCTGATAAAACTCTGGACATAATACCAAAAGAATTGTTATACATAGAAGTAGACAATCAGTTTCCCCCACTATTTGGTGGACACCAGAGCTGGTCAGAGAGGGAGGATAGTTTCAAATTGAGCAAAAGTATGATGGTAAGATCCAAAGTTTTTGTTAAAGAGCATTTATAACATATTGTTATTCATTGCTGAGATGTGTAATGTCACAACACCATGGCATTGTGTGGGTTCCCTTGCCTATCATGTTTAATTATACTCTTAATCTGAAAAAAATGATTGCTTATTGCTATTTCTTTACTTGCCTGAAAATGAGAATTCCATGGCATTTTTATTCTAATATTTCCCCTATCAAATATTTTGAGCATTATTAGTAGCTTGTAGCTATACTGAGCGAGATTATTATTGCAATGAAGCAAGCGTGTTGTTTATTTTCTACTCTTTGTTTAAGGATATCAATGATGTAATTTATGCATTTAAAGGTCCTTTAGTTGGCTAACACCACAAAAGGTAAATGATGCAAGACAGTTGCCCGACTACTTTTATTTCAAACTTGAACATTTTTCACAACTCATTCCTCCTAATTATTGGTGAAATATCCATAGCCGCTAATCATTTAGAAGAATTTAGGCAAATTTAGTGGAATCCTTTTTAATTCAGTAGTCATATCCCCAAAAACTAATTTGTATTTTCGTCTTCCTTCTCCATCTCTAACATTATGAACATCCATGTAAAGTAAACCACTGGATCATATCCTAGTCAACCCTTTTCATCTATGCTTAGACTGCATAATGCAACCTTTTCATGAATAGCTCAAATTGAAGTACTATTGTACCATTTCTTTTGAGTTAGTATTAAAAAATTGTTACCTAACTCACTTGTGCGGTTTGGATGAGGCGTTCTGCCATTTGAGGCCTACTCGTTGGGAAAAAATGACTTCAATTACTGAGAAGACAATCTTTTCTAGTCCAGGATTAGTATGATGCATTCCATATACTTAACAGTTTCTATAGAGGGAATCCAGCTGTTATAGATATAAATTTTTCCATCAGGATTCTTAGAACAGCTTAGTTTTGAAGGGTTTCAATTTAGTTTTCCATGAAAAGCCTTGCCACTTGATTTGAAATTTTAATACTTCTAGATGATGTAGAAGTCGAATGGAATTTCAATTACTTAATTTCCATCATTCAAATGCTACTGGTCTTCACTTTTCTTCCATTGTGCACTGTTAATATACTTCACGAGTGATGATTCAACTGATCCGATCATGAACAATCACAGAAGATGCATTTTGTAAGTTTCCGTGCATTGGTATTAGCATCAACTAAAGAGGATTCCATGTTTTTTTACTTGCTAGTGGCTGGTAATGTTAAAATCTTATCTGGTTTCCAAGAATGCTATTCATGGCACGTGAGATAGAATTAACACAATGCATAACTTGATCCTTGATTGGTTCCAAGCATATTGTTTCATTTTATGCCTAACTCACAAGTTCTTTTTTTCTCTCTCTGAAATCTGTAAACTTTATATTCTATTCCATCTGTTTTCTAGGTGCACTGTGGATTTATACAAAATGGTGGTGCGGAGATGGATCTAGTTGATATAAAGTACGTTAAGAAATGCAAGTTTGTGGTTGCATCTGGAATTTTTGATGGCTATGATACCCCCCATCAACCAGCAAATATCAGTGTTCGTTCTCAAAAGCTCTTCTGTTTTCTAATGGTGGTGGATGATGTATCACTAAACTTTATGAAGAAAAATGTTAGTGTCCGCATCGACAAAGATGGCGGGAAGTGGGTTGGAATTTGGCGAATTGTTACCTTGCATCATGCACCATACGACGAACCTCGAAGAAATGGAAAGGTTCCAAAAATATTGACCCATAGATTATTTCCTCAAGCACAATACAGTATTTGGATTGATGGAAAAATGGAGCTCATTGTTGATCCATTACTGATTCTTGAAAGGTTGACCAATTTTACTATTGTAGCTCCTGATTTTCAGTAATATTATTAATGAATTATTAAAAAAAATGTTCAGCACTTTGCGTTTAACAGGTATCTTTGGCGGGGAAAGCACACATTTGCAATTGCTCGTCACAAACATCACAAAAGTATATATGAGGAGGCTGATGCAATCAAGCGAAGAAAGCGTTATGCACGGCCTTTGGTTGATTTGCAAATGAAAATTTATGTTTATGAGGGAATGGAACCTTGGAGTACAAAAAAATCAACGCTCAGTGGTATGGCATTCATTATCTATCCATAAAATTCTATGCTAACAAAGTTTTTTTTTTCTTTTTGTCTCTTTTATAAAGAATGATTTCTTTGTCCATAAAAAATAGACAGGATACGAAATGAGCATATACGTGAAAAGGTTGGAGTAGCTCTAATGGAAGATAAGATTAGAGAGTTGCCTTAGATGGCGGTCTTTCGATGACGTGGTTAGGAAAGTAGATGTATTAGATAAGGTAGACCAAAAAAGACTAAGTTTAGAAAATATTAGAAATGACCTTTCTTTATTAGATTTAAATGAGAATTTAACTTTTAACAGGGCATAATGGAGAAAAAGGATTCATGTATCCGACCCTACATAGTAGGATAAAAATTTGATATTGTTGTTGTTGTTTTTATTGTCTAAAATTTTAACTAACACGATTCAATAAATGCAGATGTGCCAGAGGGGGCTGTCATTATTCGCGAGCACACTGCATTGAACAATCTTTTTAGTTGTCTCTGGTTCAATGAGGTCAACCTCTTCACTCCAAGGGACCAAGTTAGTTTTGGTTATGTGGTTTACAGGCTGGGAGATGCATTTAAGTTCTATATGTTTCCCAACTGTGAATACAATTCACTCTTCATATTGCACAGACACACCAGAGAGCATTCTTCTGCTATTGAGTGGGTTAAGAACATGACAGAATTCAAAACCAAAGGTTCTGGATTGAGAGAAACCAGGGGAGGATTAGGACTCTGGAATCCATATACCGCAGATCTCAGTTCTGTGAAACTTCCAGCTGTTACAAGAACATCTCTAGCCGGCTAATTCTACAGGTTTTTTTGTTTTTTACCTTTTTATTTTACTTGTATTATTATTTCTGTGATGGATTGGTCCAATTGGTAATAAATGCCTTTCCATTTAATTAAGACGATTTTTTTTTTGAGTGAAAGTTTTATCGGCTGAGAATAACTTAGGTGCTTAAGATTATACTTGAAAAAAAAAAAAACCAAGAGATCGCTGAATTTTTTGTTACAGTTTTCTTTTGATGTTTGTCAGAAAATATTTGGATTGCCTTATGAATTGCAGAAGCTTGTGTGAATCGAAAGCGGAGGAGCGTGCGAACAGTGGAAGGGGCAAAGCGCGTTCGCAAGTTACCATCGGCGTGCTTGAATTGCAGAATAGAGCAGCTCAATGAGCCATTTGCGAGTTCAAGCTCAAGTTTTGACTCACGAGTCAAACTCGAGTGAGGTTTAACTCGAGCTCGACTCGACTCGTTTACACCCCTAGGTGAGATTCATTATATTTGATTGAATGTTTTATATATAGAAGATGAAGATGTTAAAATTAGTTTTAAAATAACACATCAGCCCCTCATAAGTAGTTCAAATAACCAATTTAAAACATAGATTTATTTGAAGATTATATCACTTTTCTACGCGGAAAAATGTAGATATAAAAAAAATCTTAATAAACAACATGGCCTCTGATAAACCAATTTACTGCATTGATAGATGGCAAAATGTTAGCAAGTTCTACATTTGGAACTGCAATTGCTTTCCCACACATACGTTTAGAATTTCAAGAGGAAAGTGCGAATTTCCATAGGCCCTAACTCCACAACGAGGGTGGAATTGTTCACTGGACCTCCTCTAATTGGAGTTGGATTATCTCCACTGTCACCTTCAACTCTCCAATTCAATTTCTTCATCTCTGCCTTATCTTGATTTGCTGATAAGCTTGTTTCTTTTAGTTCCTTAATCTGCATTTTCAACAATAAAATGTCTGAAACGCCAAATTTACAGACTTATCATGCATTGATATTTTATAATAATCAAATATCATATTAGACATTTACATGCAGGACAGGTGAAACGCCAAACACGTAAACACATTTCAGACACGATATCCATTTGCCCATTAACAATTTTGAATTGACTCATTATTAATCTTTTGTGTGGCTTATAGGTATTTTATTAAATATTATATGGATGTTATACTATATGCCGTAGATTATATAAATGCATACTTGTTATACGCACGCAGCTCAAAATTGACTGACAATAGATTCTAATCGACTTGAACTTCATTTTGGACAGCTTTCTTACTGCTTCTTAAAGCAGCTTTATAGTACAAAAAATTTAATCTTTGTTTGGGACGGCTTTCTTACTGCTTTTAAAAGTAGCTTTCTAATACAAAAAATAAAATTTATATGCTAAAAAACTATTTTAAGATTCAGTAAGAAAGCCGTCCCAGACGAAGTCTTAATTTTTGTACTATAATACTGCTTTAAGAAGCAGTAAGAAAACCGTCCCCAATGAAGCCTTATACTTCGAGCAAGTTCAAAGCGAGCTCTGAGTTTCAAATAGTTTTTAGCACCCTTATAGTATACATTAAGAATCACTAGCCACAAAACGCAGATGGATATACATACATTTTTTTGTGCAAAGATCTTCTTCAATTCCACCTTAGCCAGTACTGAATTCTGGACATCCTCACCAGCCTGCAGGAAGTCATGGTTTTATAAGAATTTGTCTGAACTAAAAAAAGAGAAGTGCAGAGTAATGTAAAATGGACACCTCATATAAATGAGCCAAACGCAGGAGCACAGTGCCATCATCTAATTCCTGCAAAATGATTAAGTTCAACTACAAGTACTCATTTTTGAACAGAAAAGTTGCACTCAGAGACTTTTCTATATACCTCGAGTGTGATGAGTGCAACATTAGGAGGTAAACTGTAAGTAGGATCCATAGAAGTGGCTTTCGAGATTTGTGAAGATTTCCAATTTCTCTCATCCTATATGATAGGTGTTTGTATAATTGTCAGGAAAAGTAGTTTAAATGAGTATAGCAACTAATTGATGAAGTACCTCATTTGCGAATGCTAAAAGAAGAGGAGAGTATATCTGTTGACCATTTGTCCGCCGCCACTGTGCTCCATGTCCTAATTGATTGACGCTCATGTAGTAAGTTCCCCTAACCTGAGCAGATTGTAATAAGGAAACTCAAATCGTTAGTGTCTATGGATCTTAAAACAAGGCCAGATGATGTGGTTTTGTTGTTGAAATGATAATGATCAATTATAAGACAACAAAGTGGTGGTTGGTGATCAAGAAGATCACATATGATGGAGAAAAATAATATGAGGGATATGTAGGGGGTGCAAACGAGTCATGCCTACTCGCGAGCCGAGCTTATTGAGTCTCGAGCTCGAGTTCGATCGAGATAAAGCTTGACTCAATTACTCGTCGAGCGTCTTAAGTGCAAAAGGCAAAAGGTGAGAGCGGTAGCGCGGAAGCACGAGTGCGGAAGTGGAAGCTCAGGCTCTGTCGCGTGGAACTGCAGACATAGAAGCGGAATTTGAGCAGGGATGGAGCCTTGCGCCTCGCAAGCTCACATCCATTGCCACAACCCGAGCATGCGATTTGGCAGACAAGCCGAGCTCGAGTTAAGCATGACTCGAGCTCGACTCAACTCATTTGCAACCCTAGGGATATGTATATAGTCACATGCATGAAGATGATGAGAGAGAAAGGATAGGAATTGTATAGAGAAGTGGAGAGGGGGGGGGGGGGTTGTTTGTGAGATGGCAAATATAAAAATCATGCAATGTGAGGGATATGTATAGAGACTCATGCGCGAAAGATGATGAGAGAGAAAGCTATAGAGAAAGCATAGGAATTGTATAGAGATGTAGAGAAGGAAACATATGGTTAGCAGAATATGAAAATCAGAACTATCAAGATGCAATCTGAAGGTGTCTATCTATGGGGTGGTAGTTATAAAAGTCTACCTACATTCAAACATTTGCAAATTTTTTTTATAAAACTCTGCCTACATCCAAAGATTATATCACATGGATGAGTGGAATACCGTGAGACCCTGACAAACTTCATCCACACAAACTGTCTCATTAAGTGCTTCTCCAAGAAAACTTCCTTCAACATCAACTATACGCCTTGTATTCAAAATAACTTGGTCAGCACACATAAAAAAGTTAAGTGCAGTAACTAACAGTATTATGTCAAAATGGAACCTATGAAGCATGATTTCCAATTGACCATCCTGAATGCTAGAGCCTCCACAAGCCCGGTCTACAAGAATAGACAACTCATAGTTCTTATCTTCTATATACATTCCCAGGTTGAGCTGCAAAGATTGAACCCAATAAGCAAATCAACCAAAATGAATCCAAATTGTAAATGAATAATTAAATGATTCCTAACTCCTCAAGTTCTTAAGGGACTATTTTGATTCTTCTTTACAGATTTGAGAGATTAAAATGATCTTTTAATACAGTTGGGGACCATTTTGATCTTTCATAAAGAATCAAAAGATCAATAGATTTATGCCTTGACTAATTAGACTACTCTTCACAATTCTTTACCGGGTAATAATTTCCTGCAACAGGTTGATTCACTGTAAGGTTCCAATCGTCTCTGTGATCTCGCACCTGCATCCATTTGAGTAGTTATTTCATGTCGCAATAAGCTTATCAGATGCAATATGCAAGATGAACATACCAAAAGCTTAATAGACAGTTAGCTTCAAATTGAATCATAGAGAATGGGTGGTACTTTTGTCAATATAATGGATATCGATGACATATTTTACATCAATTATATTTAATCAAGTAGAACACAAAGATCACAAACACTGAGTTCCAAAACACCTCAATAAAAGTGTTTTTTTTACGCACTCGCTATCACTGGTTCAATACGCTGCCTACCTCCACTCCCAAAAACAAAGGGAAGAGGAGATGAACAAGTAAAACTACTCTCTCCCTCTCTCCCTCACATTTTTTATACTCTTAGACTTCACTTCCACATAAATTGTCACTATTTACTTCCAATTCCTCTCTCGATCATTTCCCTTTTTAGGAAAGAGGAATGAATCAGTAATGATATTGTAGAGAAGATATAAATACATGGATGGAGGGATGAAAGGATGTAGAGAGAGAGAGAGAGAGAGAGAATCTCCTCCATCTTCTTGAAGCTTTTACCCTAGGTATATAAGTTTTTCTTGGACAATATAAACCATGATTGTTGAATAGAATCCTTCAGTTGGGCTTAGTTGACTGCATTGGTTGACTAAGAAGACCAGGATCATTGATAACTATGGATGACAAAGCCATAATACCTTAATTGAGTTCAAAATATCTTCTAAAAAATCAAATATTCCTACATTCAACAAAGCCGAGGAAGGGCTTTCTTAGCCCACATTGTTATTAGATTTATTCATCTTTTCAATGTACATATACTCTCCAACAATGACTGTGCTTATGATTTTTGCCCCTACTACATCAACCTCTATGTCAAATTGTCAATGCTTTCTATCAATTATCTTTATCAATATTTTCCATTCAGTGAAAGCTCTTTCTTGATACCTCTATTTAATGGTCTTTCTAACACAAATCGCTTTATTGATTCTTTCCACCTGATTCCATTACTCTCTTTTTTATGGATCAATCACGTTTCTTTTATAACACTTGCAACATATGGGCAACAAAACTTTCGAGTACTTCTTCTCTAGTCAATACCAAATATATTTTATTTAATGTTAAATAATAAATAAATAAAATTAAAACATAAAGTGATCCCCAACAGCTCCTTAACAATGAAAAAAAAAAAAAAATCATAGATATATTTTATGAAGTAGAATCCAGAAGTATTACCCGTTTTAGAAAATCCCTTCCATTGGAGTCGGTATAAAATGTCCTGTTCGTGGCCATACTGGTTGTCAAACGAGTAATGACCTCTTTTCCAACCCCATCAGTTGGGACTGGGCCAATCTTCATAAACACAAGGGATTCAAAATGAAGAACAAAAGGTAGAGAATCAAGTTTCATTTGGGATAGCTTTCTTATGACTTCTTAAAACAACTTTTCAGTACAAAAATCATTTTTTTTTTTATTAAAAAACTATTTTAAGAAGTAAGAAAACTGTACCAAACGAAGCCTCAATGTGTATTCTAGTTTTTCTTTAAACATAGATGCGATCATTATAAAAAAAAGCACGAACTTACAGTATATTCAAATTCAACAATTTCCTTGTCCTTGTATATTCTTGTGACCTGAATCAACACCGCTGATTATAAGATCCATAATGAAGTTTTTCAACAGAAAATTGAATTCATTTACAAAAACTAATATGAAATTGATGCCATGTTAACTTGATACAAGCAAGCATGAGAGATTTCTTGTTAAGATCCTCTATTTTGTTGAATCAAGCTAATCCAGGCCTAACCTGATCAATCAGGCTTTAGCTAAGACCATTAAAGTTGCTACAGTCAGTAAAATTTCTCAAACTCTTAGTAGTCAAACATTAGCAAGAATAATTATTTGTGCAGTAAGAAGGTAAACAAAATTCATTTAAAAAATAGGCTTTTAAAGTTTAACAAAAGTTAAATAGTACTAAATCATATAATAATAACAAGAAATCACACACGAGTTACACTCCCACACCGAATGTGACACATTCGGGTTTAGAAGGTTTTGAAAGTTGCACTTTTTTATATCTATGAGGGTCAGTAACAAAGCCGACGACAAATTGAGGCAACAAGACGACGAGATTTTCAAAGCAAATACACACTTTTTTTTCCTTTTTCCTTTTTTTCCTATTTTTCTATTTTTCCTTTCTTTCGAGATCATAAAGTTGGAACCAAATAAAAAAGTTTTTGAAAAATAAGAGTAAAGTTGGTGCTTGCGTGAGTTCGCGGGCTGGCAGGTGGGCTTGGTCGTGTGGGATTGTGATCAAACGAGTAGGACTGGATCGTAGGTCTGGCCACGCAAGGCAGAAAATTGAACGAGACTGACGAGAGATAATTATGTGCAGACACCGGACTCATCTTACTGTCTATAGACGAATCAGGTGCAATCACGTCATCAGTACCGAGCCGCGTTACCGAGTAGGGGGTGACGTGGCACATTTTCATTATGCTCTAGACGGTGTTCAGTCTTGGCACATGAAAGCCCACAGAAGTTGGGGAGAGGGAGAACGAAAGCAATTTTTTATTAATCGAACGCATTTGTTGCTTCATGAATCATTGCTTCTGTTCAAATTTCCCCTTTTTTTAGTTAATTCAACACCTATCATCAATTCTAGTATATTATTTCTTCATTGAATGAAAGAAAAATATGCAAATACCTGATTTATCCATGAGTTAAATTGTTGATGGACTTCATCAACTAAGGATCCCCTTACCACTTTCATAGCTACCTTTATTCATGAAGACCAAACAAAAAAAAAATGTATCAATCATGTCAGAGCTATTTCAGAAAAGAATTTTGCTGAAAATGAAAATTCTCTTAGCATTAAAATACCAATCCCGAAGAAGCTGTAGGAGGTCTACCATCAGGCCGGAAAATGTAAGCATGAGATGCCTTAAAAAATAAATAAATAAATAAATAAACAATACTTCATAGTCTACATTTTATAAAATTAGCATCATAAATATGACAATAAGATGCAATTAAGTACCTGAGGATCTTGTTTATCACCAGGGCTAGAACCATACCAGAGATAATTTTGTTGCACAAGTAAATCAACCTAATTAATAAAATCATTGGTCTAAAATCATTAATTATATGAAAAACTAATTGTTTATAGCTAATTATCAACTAAAGCGTAACTGAAGAAAAACAACTTCCATGATCACATTATCATTATAGACAGTATAAGGGCATCTCCAACCGAAAATCCCATTTTACAATCCAAAATGTAGTGAAACTAAAAAATGGCGCGATTCATCTCCAATCAAACTCCATTTTGCGCCCTTCGCAAAAGATAACCGTCTTTCTCCTCTTTCGTGCGTTTCTTCGACAAATCCGGTATAGACAGAAAAATAACGCTGGTGAACAGTGCAACGTCAATACTAGCGTTGCAATGTTCACCCACAACCAAATACCAAAATTTTGCCGTTCGGCTGGAGCTTGCGAGCGACGCCATTCATACATTTGGAGTTCGTTTGGAGAACGCCTAAGGAGGATATTAAACTACTCACTCCTGTTCTGTGGTTCACCACTCTTTTCAGTTTCCCAGAAGTTGACGAGAAGCTTATTTTAAGAGGCCCAGGTCCTATCTCCACTGTTTCATCATCAGCTGATGATATAGTTGAGATAAGGCTCTCTGAAGTGCTTTCTTCTGCAACAAAGAAATATTAAATGAAGTAATATAACTGGTAAAATTGATAATTAGCAAATAACAAAATCACAGCAATCTATGAAATAAACCTTTCTTAGTTGCTTTTGATATATAATAGGTATTCCATCCCAGTGGTGGCACAAGTACTTTAAATACAAGCCAGAACTTTGCGGAATCCTTTGGCAGCTCTCCAAGGTATGCCTTGACATAAAAATCTCTTATATTCGCAGTAGTATTGTCCATCTCAATAACTTGAGACTCGATAGAATTGCCATTAGCATCACGTACAACAAGCTCGTTATCATTAACCTGATGGAAGTAGAAAAGTTTTTATATTAGTTTCTTATATTCGCAGCAGCAAAAATGGTTTAAACATGCTAAATATGATCATGAATATTCAAGCCAATATTTTTCATCTGTAGCTACAGTAAGCTAAAGGACATTCTTTCATTCTACCTGATTATCTTCTATAGATATCTGATAAGTGAACTGGCATTAAGGGGAGAGAAAATAAGCTTTCTAACATAAAATTTGTGCTGTGGAACAACAAATGAACCATCTCTACCAATCTTTCTTTAAAGTAGCTTCTGTGAATATTGAAGCTGTTAAATTTAGAGAATTGGAGAGGGAAAAAGGCTTAACTTTAATGTACAAATCTATCCCTATTTATAGATCTATACAGGATATCCAATGAAAAAACAAATAAATGATAGAATCATGCATTATTGTCCTAATATAATATTTCCTAAATCAACCACCTAACTATAGAAAGAGATCGGCATGATCTAGGTGAGCCTAGCTCTCATGGATCCCCATCCTAGCTGTGGGATCAATTATTGAGGGATGGCTGGGATTTAATAGTTTCCCTCAAGCTGGGGAATACATATCTGTGATTCCCAATTTGGTAATCAATACCAAATAGGTAGAGTTATCAAGTCCATTTGTAAGAATATATGCAAGCGTATCTTTCGATGAGACATGATAGATACATATAAAATCAATGTCTAATTTTTCCTTTATAAAATGTTTGTCCACTTTTATGTGTTTGGTCCTATCATGTTGAACCAGATTGTGAGTTATGCTGATTTGTTGTGACAATGTAGCTTCATGGGTCCTTCCCACTTAATCCTTAGGTCTTTTAGAATCATCTTGATCTATAGTAGCTCACATATTCCCAAGGACATAACTCTGGATTTTGCTTCTACACTAAATCTTGCCACCACATTCTTTCTCTTGCTTCTCCATGTAACTAGGTTTCCTCTAAAGAAAATGCAGTATCCTAAGGTAGATAGTCTATATACTACTGATACTGCATAATATGCATCAATATATGCTTCTGGGGTTATTCCAAAGTCTCTTCTGAAGAGAATTCCTTTCCTTGGGTTAAGATAGTGCGGTATTTTGTCTACAGCTTGCTTGTAAGTCTATTTTGGATTTTGCATGATTTGGCTAGCTATACTTATAGTAAATGCTATATCTAATGTAGTGTGAGAAAGGTAAATCAATTTTCTCACAAGTCTTTGGTAAGATTCCGATGCACCTTGGTATTAAAAACATCAACAAACTCTAAGATATTCAACACAAAAATAGATTTATATTGATTGAAAATCAAATACAAACAAAGCAAGATACATTGATCTTCTTTCGAGAGGAGGACCTTCTCTCCCAAACTCTAGACTCCTTTAGGATCCATCACAAAAAGAAAACTACAATACTCTCAAATCGAATTTTGCATACAAATATAACATATATGGCAAACAAGAAAACAACAAATTCCAAAATAGCATTCCCCTAATTTCCTCAGCCCTAAATTAGCCCCCAAATCAGCCCTCAAATCAGCCCTCTATAATTAGAAAATATCTCCTAATTAATCTCCTCTAACTCAGCCCCCAAATGTGCCCATTTTAATTAGTAAATATCTCATAATTAATCACCATCAAAATAACCCCCAAATCAGCCCTTTTTAATTAGGAAACATCTCATAATTAATTTCTTTCTTAATTACTCTTCTCAGATATGCAATGATAAGTTTAATGGGCCCCACAAGCAGGGCTAAATTTCCCTCTCCCGTATCAATACTCCCCTCACCAAAATGCACATTGTCCTCAAGGTGGAAAGTAGGGAACCGTCTCCTGATTGCCTCGTATATATGACTCCTATGTGGCATCATGCTTTGGCAGGTCTTTCCACTTGATTCGCACCTCTTGTGCTCCTGTCTCCCCTCTGCACACACCTGCTACTTTCAGGGGTTCCAAAATGACCTCCGTCAAACTCGGGGGTAGAGATGATGGTGTATACTCTCCAATTGACTTCCTCAGCTAATAGATATGAAAGAATGGGTTCAAAACTGATGAAGGTGGCAGCCACAGTCAATAAGCTATTGCTCCAATACGCACCATGACCTCATGCATGTGATGTGGTATGGTAACTTGCATAATGATGAGTACATATTACGATTGAACAAGATGCACATATTAATACTACATTTGTTACATCATCGGCCTTACTTATGGACATATATGATTATGTCTGATTTGTGATTTCCATTATATACAATGTAAACTATATAAGTCACATAGCATGTGATTTACATGCTCTAAGCTGTGAATGTGAATGATATGTATGAATGAGAACACAATATGAGAGTGAGAATGATCCATATAAACAAGGAAGATCCCTAATTCGCACGTAATCTTTTAGCCCCACAAGAGAGTAAGACTATGAATTAATCAAAATGAGGCCAAGGTATTATGACAAAGGTACTAAACATTCAAAATGGGTAGAACATGCACTAGCTAATGGGCATATGAATTGACAATTGAGTACCACTATGGCTTCCGAGCATGCCAAGGGCACCAGGATGATGATTGTGGCATAATTTTCTAAAGTTATGGCCGCTATGTTATTACCTACTATTCTATGCTACATGTAAGCAAAATAATATTCTGTGATCTATTTTTTTCTTTTTACAGGATTGCTTTATCTTGTTGATGCACCCTTTGCTATTGGCAGCCAGGTAACATTTTAAAAATTTGAGCCATACTTTCTTATATATATAGAAACATTGTAGAAACCTAAACTATAGAAGACCATTGAAGCCATCAAGGCTAAGACTTTTGCAATGATACCAAAATCAAAATTGAAAACCTTCAACATAGGATGAGAGGATTATATGTTAGGACACTACAGGAAATCGTCTAATACCGGTGGCGATTAGACGATTTCCGGCAGTTAACATCAATTTTTTGGCAGTTTTTAAACCGCCGGTATAAGCTGCGTAGGAAATGGATTCCAGCGGCTGGAAATTACTGGAACCAAAACCGCAGATAAACCTCTAAAAGATTCTGGCACAAATACTGTCGGTAAACCACTGGTCATTATTGGCGGTCGCATCGACTAATACCGGCGGTCACACCGACAAATACCGGAGGTTAAACTGCCGGCATTTCTATTGACTACCGGAAATTCTGCCAGTATTCAGTGAATTTACTATAGTGAGAGAATATGACTTCTCTAGAAGTTTGTTAATTATAGGTAAAAAGAGCAAGGTACTGGCATTATGTGCCAGCACTTGTGAAATTTGTAGAATGCAGTTTACAGAACTCAACAGGAGTAAGCTTGCTTGAAAAGCAATAAATGGTTTGGAGACTTATATATTCAATAGATTGGTGACCATACAGAACTACATCCAGATTTATTTGTATCAAATCAAAAAGACCAGTTTTGAAAACAGATGTTCAGTATGTACTTACTGGAACCTTAACATACTCCATACGATCCCATCCAAGAGAATTATAAACTACTATTACCTGTGCAAACCAATGAAATTCATCACTTACACGTTAAATTTTGAAAAAAAATAAAGCACTAGAGGACAAATATGAGACAAAAAAAGGAGGCTATAAATCGGTAAAGGAACATAAATACTTACTAAACTCTTCCCATCTGAAATTTCTTCTGTAGGTGGGCAGTAACTTATATTGAGCAAATTGCACTGAAAAAATGACAAGAAACTTATTATGTCTCATTTAATTGCTTAAGAATTTCAAACTTCATCCAACCAAATGAACCTTGCTAGAATATGAACTATGCAAATAATGTGAATCATGGTACATCACAAATTCAAAGTTTGTTTAGCAGCATGAACAGTAATATTAACTTTGGAGTGCATTCTTCATGTTCAATATAGATATTTTTGCAAGATGAGTGTTGTATTCTATAGTCAGGTTGATGTTCTTATGATTTCAAAATAGTCCTCAAATTATTTATATATGGTCATTTTACTCACATAGTATAATATTGCGTCGATTTTGTCCTTCGACTATACAAAATTGATCCAAATTTGCCCCTTTGGGGTTAACTTGGGATCAAATTTGTAAAGTCGAGGGACTAAATTAGGATCAATTTTATATTATAATTGTTCAATTACAATATGAAAGACTATTTTGAATCAATTTTTTATAGTCGGTGGATTAAATTTGGGCACCATGATACTATGAGACTAAATTGACCATACACGAATAGTCTAGGAAAAATTTTGGATTTTTTTTTCTTACATCATGTAAATTAGAATGCTATATGATGGAGATGTTGATGAAAAAATATTTGATCTTTCGATCTTCCTGTAACCCTTATCTTGATCTTCCTACTTTTTCCACTAAACCAAATTCTTTGCTTCCAAAATATCAAAAAAAAAAATAATAATAATAATAATAAAATAATAAATAAATAAATAAATAAAAGAATCCACAATGATCATCATTTTTGTTGTCTCGCTCATTATCACATAAAGGCTATACATATTAAAAAATAAAACCTTAATTAAATATAATACTATCCTTATTCCAATTGTTTTCAATTACATTTTAAAATTAAAATAAAAAACAAAAGTTCTGTCATAAGTACTGGCGGAGCTAGAATAAGGGCCATTGAGGGCTTTTCCAGTATAAGGGCCATGGGGGCACGAGCCCTCACTGACCCATCTAACAATAAAAGCGAATAGAACCCAAAATATTGGGCCCAGTTAGAGATAAAAGCCCACTGTTTTATATAATCTTTTAAAATTATAAAGGCGGCAGAGCTAGGGATAAATCCAAGCTCCTTTCGCTGAGAAATCTAGAGCTCTATCCATTGGACCACAACGACACAACGTTTGATATATTTACTATTTTTTATTTAAATCATAATTAAGCCGACAGTAAGCAATAATTCCATTATTTCTTCTTGGTCTGAAATTTGTATCTTTAAAATAGTATGTATGTATATATATATTATAGGCTATAATTTTCTTTTTTTATAAAACTAATACCAAAATATTTCAAGTAAAATAAGATAATCATCGCATTATGTGTAATTCAATTAATAGAATATAGAATATAGAATATAAAATTTAATAATTTATTGAAAATGAATATTAATATACGTTATGAACTATTAAATAAAAAGGTAAAAAAAAAAATCAACGAAAAAAAATTAAGAGTTATTTAAAAAATTATCAATTTGTGCCCCCACTAATAGAATTTTCAACCTCTGCTCCTGAGCATAAGTGATAAAGGGACAAGAAAAACTTGAAAATATCTTGATTCAAGTTAATTGTTGTATGGTTTGAATCGAGAAATTTGTCTTGTAAGAAACTAAGCCTTTCAAAATTATATTGGCTGAATAATTATACCATATTTACAATATGGTGTTTATATGCTATAAGGGTGTCACAATTTGAAACGACCCAAAAATTCAACTCGGATACGACCTGAAAATTCTGGTTCTGATTGACCCATTTATAATACAGATCGAGTTTGGGTTTAGAAAACTGTCCTTGTTTAAGTTTCAAGACAGGTTTAAATCAATTCGATAACCCGAGTTTGACCCGAATGCAACCAGATACCTTATTACTATTAAGTCTTTAAGGCTGTCATGCTTTCATAATTATCAGGTTTGCATCTTCAGCTCTTTTGTTTCACAACTTTCGCTCCATGCCCTAGCCCTCGTTCTTGTCTGGCGTCTCCGTTATTCATCTTGCAGTGGTTGTTGTAGCCTTGATTTCTAAAGAAATTAACCGGCCACAATCCCTTCAGGTCTCATTTTCTCCTCTCGTAGACTCGGTTTTCCAGTTTTCTCCTTCGGGCTTTCAATTTTGTGGGCATATCTGGTAAGTTATTTCATTTGGAGATAATGGGCTGATACTATCATTGTTTGGCAAGCATTTTAGTTTTTATTTTGAGTTTCCCTAATTTTTTTTTTCATATGTGAGCTTCTCAAACCAAAACTCTATGTTGTATTTGTGTGATTTCAAAACCCTAGCTGATGTCAATCCTATATATCAGTAGACAGCCTTTAATCCTTTATGTTTTTTATTTAAAGATACATTTTTTTCAAAATCCTAGCTAATGTCCATCCTAAACCCTAGCTGATGTTAATCCGCTATGCATTTTTTTCTTCAATAAATATTTATGTTTGAAGAAATTTGATGAATTATTGGGAATGTTTGCACTTTAGGATTTATATATTGTAGCTTGGATGAATAATGAATTTGAGGGAGATAATGACAAAGTCTCGAAATTATTCAGAGTTAAAAGAATGGGTGCGTTACCAATAATCATCAAAGAGAATTCAAAAGCTTCGTACCTGGCTTAACTTAATTGATGATGTACTGGAGTCACAATTCTCATCCGGAGTAAGAAGACAAGGAATAGCACGGTTGACAACTATCTCAGCCTAAAGAAATTCAATAAGAAATAACAAAAATCATAGCCACAGAAATAGAGAAATGTTCAGAAGGGAGTAATGACATCTCCAACCGAAAATCTCATTTTTCACTCCAAAATACAGTGAAACTAAAAATTGCCGTGATTCATCTACAATCGAACTCTATTTTGCGCCCTTCTTCGAAAACAACCGTTTTCTCCTCTTTCACGCGTTTCTTTGGCAAAGCCGGCAGAGACATAAAAATAGTGGAGGTGAATAGTGCAATGTTAATATTGGCATCGCACTGTTCACCTGTAACCAAATTGCGGAAGTTTTGCCGTTCGGCTGAAGCTCTCGAGCGACGCTATTCATGCATTTGGAGTTTGGTTGGAGATTGCTTAAGCAAAAGATGCAAACCTGAGAAGCTCCATATGCAAGACGCTTTGTATAGTCATTTGTTACGTGCAGTAGTGAAGTACCAGAGATAGCATCATGGTGCTGAGCAACACCCAAAGCCTCACCTAAAGAAAAGGTGGTTAAACCAGCTTTCCTTCCTACCAGAAACTCTAGTTGTCTTGCAGCCTATTTGAGATATTAGATGCTTCAGTAGTAAAACTCAAAGATTATATATACACCAAAGGAAAAGAAGCAATAATATATGCACAACTAAGTATTGTACCAGGTAATAAGCGCTTAACACACGAACAAATCTCTTGAATGTTGGTCGGCTAGTATAATAGCCAGTAAAATAAGCATTGGGAGCATTGGCATATCTGCAGTTATTATGGAAAGCTAATACGTAAGAATAATATTAAAAGATTTAGATTTCGTTTGGGATGACTTTTTTACTGCTTCTTAAAACAGTTTTTTAGTAGAAAGTTTTTACTTTTTTATTAAAAATCTACTTTACGAAACAGTGAGAAAGCCGCCCCAAGCAAAACTTTAGCATATAGCTTACGGTAAATAGTCATCTGTTTTCAGCGGCCATGCTTCATTTGAAGCATATTTTGCATCAGTATAGATTGATGGTGTGGAATACAGTGCATGGATACGGCCATCCTGCAATGACATTGAAAGTGGGCATCGAAAGTTAAAGGCTTGCATTTACAACAATGTATATCATTGAATTAGTGAGAGTTTATCACCGTTTTGAAGGCTTCTCCACCAAAGAACTACATTAAGCATAAGCGTTAATTATCATACTTTCTTCCAATTTGAACATTACAAATATAGTTTTTCCTCTCTTTGGTTCGCTGGTAGATGTATATGTAAGTGTTTCTTTTTCTATACATGAATATTGTATTAGACATGCATATCTTTCTGATCATTTTTGCTCACCAAATGATTATTCTGATCGTTGCAGGAAAGGGAAAGGAGAAGGTTTAATCATAATAGTACCAGATTATGTTTGTAATTTTGCTTTTTTTAGTCAATGTAAGAAAACCCTTTTTTTTTTTTTTAAGGTTAGCAGCTTGTTGTTAGGCAGTTGTTTTGATTTTTGATAGATACTCTGTAAAAGAAAGTTTTTGGAAATGAAAATTTAATTGTTTCTGCATATAATTGATATTTTACGTTATCAATATCATTAAAAACATTTCAAAAGACCACAAATACTTGTAGGCAGAATGAGAACACTAAATTACTGTAAAGATAGTAATGAAAAATCAGAAGCAACAGTAACAATATCAATTAGTAAGAAATAAATGTTGTTACATTATAAGCGAGAAAACTAATCCTCTTAACGATCTTTTAAATTAAGGGATCAGAAATGGTAAATGGAAAAAGATCATGACATCTCTTTCTCAAAAAAGATGCTTCCAAGCTTTTATTATTTCGTTTAGTAGATTTAGAAAGTTCCAAGCTCTAGTATACATGTAGAACAAACATTAATAGCTTATGGAAAAGCTCACTATAATCTGATTGTCATACCATGTTTACATAATTGATAAACTTGTCCATTTCCTTGAACCAAGATTCAGCATACTGGTACGCAAAATCATCACCCATTGTCCACATAATATGATTTGTGCGAGTCACGTTAGCCTGACAAACATCATGCAAGCAATGGTTGCATTAACACTAAGGTTTTGTTTGAGATGACTTTTTTACTGCTTCTTAAAATAGTTTTTTAGAAAGCTAAAAAGCTACTTTAAGAAGCAGTAAAAAGCCGTCCCAAATGAAGCCTAAGACAAAATTATAATAAGAATAGTATGCATGGATATTGAAGGGGAAAAGTTGAATGTGAAATTCATGTTTACTTGAACCAGAGCAGCATCAATAAAATCATTTACACGCTCGTTAACATTGTAAACATCGAGATGAGGATCATCCTGCACATTATGAATACAAAAAACAAAGCAGGGAGTCTGTATTCGTGGTGGGGGTAATTAGATCTATAAAAAGTAATCAACCTATTCAAACTTCATACTTGGACAGGAGAGTCGTAATAATCCATTTCAAAATAAAATCCTTCTGGAGGGCCGTAAAGATCAGGAAAAGCACCCGCAAAAATCTGGTGTTTCCATAATTTGCTTCAATGAACAATAAATCACAAAGGAAGTATATTGGGATCTAGAAATCTGAGAACCTGGGAGGATGAACCAAAAGTTCTTGAACCACGCCAAATGACTTCAAGAGATTTGTCCACTTTACGTTTTTTTTTCTCCTGGTAGTCAATCCTTGCAAAGAATACAGCATCAAAACCAAGCTGCATGAAAAATAAGGCAATTAAACAAAACTTTTCATTTTTGTTGGCATTTTTCATCAGTGGAGTTGATGGTGATACTTTTCATTTAAAATGAATGAAATGAAACAGATAAATGAAAATTAGATTATGTGGACACTGAAGTAGCACTCAAAAAATGCAAACAAAGTTTCCTAGGCCAACTATGGAAGAGAATAATCAAAAGTAGCGACGACCACCATCACCTTACCAGTTATTTGGACTAAAAAACTTTCATTATACTATCCTGCTGCGAAAAATATGGAGCTCAAAAACCTAAGATAGAGATATATGATGTCACGAAATGGCCTACATCCATGGGAGAAGGCTGAGCAGAGTTTTATTCCTCAAGTGAGTACAAGCTAAAATAGCATCACACCAAAAGTTATAGCATCAGAAATTATTTTTTACTTTCACTGAAAAAAAAAGTTAAAAGGAAAAAATAAAGCTCAAGCCAAATTTAGACGACCAAACATATCTTTCAAGCCCCAGAAGTTTGGTTCGGCCTCACAATAATCAAGCATAATAGAAAGGAAAGGCTACAAAAGTTCATGCATATTTATTAACCGCATAGCCTCCAAAACTCAAAATTTCAAGAAAAGAAGCTTTAGACATGCAAAGCAAAAAGGTCATAAAGTTTAAGGCAAATTTTATATGGTGTGGGCATATTATGGAAAGATTATTCTATGCGGACGCGGGACGGGAGAACCGTCTGGTACCCGCTTGGTACCGAACATCGGTACCGCGCTCGGTACCGAGCACGGTACACTTTTGAGATGACATGGCATATTTTTATTGGTCTTGGACGACGTACGGACTCCGCACAGAATAAAAATTCCACATTATGATGTAAAATGAACATGCTAAGTAAGAGGTACACTCTTTGCACAAGGATCCCCACAACATGTAGGTACACAGGGGCAGAATCAGCCTTAATTTTCAGGGTGGCAAAATTATTAATAAAAATGTAGAGATTTCGTAGATATGAATGGGTATGCATGAAAATCGAAGATAGCACAGCTAACGAGTATATTACCTCGGATCCTAATAAGTAGCCTTGCACGGCAGAATGTCCAAAAGGATCAATCTGCCAACCAATTCGAGGAATATGGTTAAACTGTTTCTTTATCATAAGATGACCAAGAGTAGTTTGATCAATCATATCAATATAGTGTGTAGCAGCTTCATCATGCATGCACCAGCCACCATTTCTGTATGAGAAGAAACCCTTATCATCACAACAAATACGTATAAAGAGCAATTGGTTTGTCTATCATTACATACACGAATTCCAACTGGCCAGAATCTACTAATTTTTTGACCGCTTCTTGCATCATATCACTTTGTTCAGCCCACCATCTTTGGAAAAAAGCCTGCACATCAAGCCATTTGTAGCATTACTTCACATATTCAAATATGGAATTAATAGAGCAATAAGAAATACAAAGTTTCTGTTCACAATTATCAGTTGCAAGTTAAATATGTCACTACAAAAAATTAGTTGAACTACTGGAGGTTAAACCGGCGCTGCCGGTTGGAAGCGCCGGTATTAAACACTAAACCGTCAGATTTCTGGTGGTGAACTGATCGCCGGAAATACGGCCCGTATTTTGTAATGTGCAAAGTAAGTGTATAGTACGAGCTGCTCCAAAAATGTGTTCTCCACAAATGTAAAGCCATGGAAGCATGCAAGTGTAGTATTGAAATTTTTATTTTTATTTTTTTAAGTTGCACATAAGCGGCAAAATACCAAACAAATGCTAACCATCTACTCCTAGATGAATGCAGATTTTATTTGCACATTAAATCTATTTGTTAACTTTATTTATTTAATTAAACGCATGACATTTTAATTGTATTTAAGTAAGAGATAATTGTTAGAATGCCAAAGATTTTAATTGTATTCATTTATATATTTAAATACAATTAATTAATAAATTTATTTGCATTATATTTTTAATTTATATCTATCACAGCAATTAATAACATAGTTTATTAATTAATATTCATTCAATAATAATTGTTAAAAATTAATATCTTAATAATTAGTAATAAAAAATTAAAGATAAGTTTTAATTAATTATTTTAATAAAAAATCTTTATATCTAAACTATTATTATAAAAATCATTTGAGTTTTACCCATAAACACAATCTTAGCCTTTCATTTTAATTATTCAAATAGAATCATGGACTTTGATTTTATTATCTTATCATGATTAATTAATAATTTTCAAAATAATTAATATATTATTACTTTCTATATGAGCAAAGTTTTCATTTAAATTTTAAACAAATAAATGAAGAAATCATTTAAATTTTTTAATGCTTCTTAGTCTCCCTTTAATTAAATATCACTTTGTATTCCAATCTTCCTATCCTCTAAATAAATGAAAAAATCCTAAAAAATAAAAATGATAAAATTTTGTCCATGCATTTCATTGGAACTCTTGGTTTACTAACCACCAGAAAACAGTCGGTATTTTACGAAAACACCGGAAATCTAATTGAAACCGCCAAAAAAACCGCCGGTAATGCCTGAATTTTCTGTAGTTAAGTTATCGTAAACTCCTTCTCACTTATGAAGTCCCCAGACGAACCACTATAAGAAAACAATTCATTTCCAACAGAATTAAATTCGTCGCAATTTCTAGCAGATTTTCGACAAATTTCAGAAGAATTTCTAACTGATTTTTTTACTAAAATTCCAACGGATTTATTTATGACAGAATTCCCAGCGGATTTCGGATGGAAATATAAAATTTAAGTTATATTTTAACATCTTATTATTAAATTAAATATTTTATATTGAAAAAAAATAACTTGAATTATTTAAATTAATAACTAATTTTATTGAAAAAAAAATAAATATTTTTGCTTTAAAATTAATAATTACTTTTAGTATTTATTAATTATAATTAAAAAAAAAAGATGTAGCACTATTTTCAGTTTTTCCTTAATGGCCAGAGGGTAGGTGGCTTGTGCGAGCGGAGGAGGTGTGGTTCGAACCCGTCGTAGGCATTGGGCATGGGTTGCGGGCTAGCTTGGGTATGGGTTACTGGGCTGGGTATTTTGGGCAGCTTGGGACATAGCGGACTGGTTTGGGCTGGCCGGTCAGGTTAGCGCGTGCAGGTGGGCCAGGCAGCGGGCTGGCGGGGTTTTGGGTTGGTCGGTCGTGTTGATGTACTCGAAACCGATTTTAAATTTTTTTTAATGTTCCAGTGCAAAAATAATCCGCTGAAAATTTTTTTTTTCTCAGCGCATTATTTTGCGCCGGAAAGATTTTTTCGATGCTTGTTTTACCAGCGAAAACTTTTACGCCGGAAATACTAATTTGCAATGGATTTTGGCCATTTTTCCATGGAAATGGCAGCCGAAAAGTGACGTTTTTCTTGTAGTGAACCCAGCAACTCGCTCCCGACAATTGTTATCTATCGGCCTTCACATTACAATTATCTAGCCCTCACTCCACAGTCTCATATCTCCTCCCATAAACTCTCCAAACAACATTATTGTTGTCGCTTCAGTCCTTTCCTAATGCTGAATTATTACTTGGCATAAAGTTTAGATCATTTCCTAATGTCGGATTATGCAACTGGCATGTTTATGCTCTTTCTCTTATTCTTTCTTTTTTTTCGTTTCTTCTATTTTCTTATATAATTTCTCTCTGAAATTGTTAACAGTTTCTCCTCATGCCCGCTCCTCTTTTCACCCTTACAGAGGTTAGCAAGTAATCACATTTTCAGTAAAAAAAAGATTTTATTTTTTCTACTACTTATTTCATTGGATTAAATTTCTAACAATTCACAAAAAAACAAAAAAAAAAAAAAATCTTTTTTTTTCTTTATTTTTTATCTTCACATAGGAATCGAGACTATGACTTATGAGCTAGAGGTAATGTACATTTCTCTCATTGAGAAGACCGAATAAATGCTATTTTTTGTTTTATTGAGGTTTCCCCTTCCTCAAAAGGAAACTAATGTTTTTTTCTAAAGCCTGCTAAAATTCAGGGAGACAATGGAGACAACACCCATGAATATTTTGATAGTCGTAAGGGTGTAGTTAAGTTTGAAGATGTACAAATCTGTTCTATAATCATTAGAAAAATTAAAGTAATAAATAAATAATAATAATAATAAATCTCTAAATTTACACATCGACTATATGTGAGTATTCTCCTCTATTTTTTCAATATTTCTTGCCCACTTTGCTCATGCCCACATTGTGCTAGTTCTCTAATAAAAGAACAAACGTTTACCAGTGTGTACATACCTGTTCGGCATAAGCAAACTTCCTATTTGGATCTTTGAGCAACGCCACCACCAAAGAGTCCAGCACGTTATTCACACAAGCACCCTGCATCGACATTTGCAGAAACCAATATAGAATCCACTTTCTCAAAGAAGAACAAAACCATAAGATCAAAATCTAGAAACTTCAATTCTACCCAGGCCACGTACCTGTATGCTATTATTAGAGCCGACGTAATACTGATCGATTGTCTTCAACCACCCAACATCATCATGAGTGTGAGGAACCAGGTGAACATTGAGCTTTCCGTCGACGACGCCGGCGGTCGTATTGTATCTAATAAAAACTCCTCCAACCTCCACCAATAATAGAGAGATCAAAAGCAACGCCGCTGCCACCGGCGACGACATTAACGTGGCCGATGATAGATAGAAGGCTTCAGGATTGAGAGCGTCGGCGTACCAATTTGTAGAAGAATGGGATGACAGTGAGCAAGCTGGGTAAGTCGCCAGATGGAGGACGAAAAACGCTGCAGAGTTGAATGTTAATATATTGTTTAAATATGATTTATTTGGATGCAGAGAGAAAAGTCAATCTGCATGCCGTTAAAATATAATTTGTCTGGATATAGGAAAAAAAATAAAATTCGATTTAGATACGGCCATACGGGACGGAATGGTTGTTTCATCATTGGCTGCTGCCAGCCTTTTTTTTTTTTAATAATTTTAAGGTCAATTATATTAAATTCATATGTTGCCTTAATACTAACTATTTAATCACTAAAACAAATGCAGGTTGATAACTCTTATGTGTTTTGAAATTTGCACTAAGGCTAATATGACTTAGTGAGATCCGAACTATGACCGGACGGTCGACGAAGTAATTCCTTCGCTTTTATTCGTGCTGTAATCCCCTACATGTCTCAAAAAAAAAAAAAAATTGACTTAGTTCCTTCTTTTTGTGGTTTTTTTTTTGGGAAAATATTAAGAATGACTATCATTAAAGAGTAAATTAACTGTATAATTATAAAAAGAAAAAAATACAGGAAATTGCTTGCCTTTCTAAAAGAAGGGCAACCCGCTCTTCCACTAGGCTATTTTGATTCGGCTGCATTTTTTTTTGTGAAGAACCAGTTGCTTGATGATGGGGAGATTATTATTTTTTATTTATTATAAGTTTGTATATAATTATTGATATATCATAAAAAATTTATCTTGATCAGGCATGAATCTCGAGGCAACAATCAAGCCGAAATTTTCAAAAATTAAATCCGGGATCACTTGAACTCCCATTTCAACAAACTTATAGTCAAACCGAGCATCTCGGAATTACGAACCCAACAACACCAAATTCAACTCAATCTTATCCCAAATGAGTCTGAATCAAAGTCCCGAAGCACTGTTGGCAGGTTCAAACCGCAATTTGGATTACCAAACGGTTTCCAACCATGACATGCTTATAGTCGAATCGAGCGACTCGACGAGAAGAATCCAACGATCCCAAGATCGTCGAATTACAATATCATTAAGAATTTCAAATGTCTGATAAACGGTCCATGATCAATGGATTCAATTTCAGTTGTCGATCCGAAACACTCCACATTCGCCCTTAATCCTCCTATTTACGGGTCATGTCATTCTCAAAAAAACTATAAATAGCTCCTCATTTCTCTTGAGAGGGACCGAAGCAAGAAGAAGAAGATAAAAAGGAGAAGAGAAGGAGGATAGGAGGGAAGAAACTCGACCACCGCCGCAAGAATTCTGCCCGACTTCCACGAGACATTAGAATTCTGCCCAAATGACGCTGGAATTCTGCCCGATTTCCAAATGATGCCGGAATTTTGCCTGACTTTCCAAGTGACGCCGGAATTCCGCCCGACCTCCAAGTGACGCCGGAATTCCGCCCGAGCTCCAAGTGACAACGGGGTTTCGCCCGAACTCCAAGTGACGTCGGAGTTCTGCCCGAATACCATCTAATGTCGGAGTTCTCCTCGGCCGCTGACTAACGTCGGACTTCTAACCAATACCTGACCTCCGCTCATCGCCAGACAATAGTCCTTCTGACCTCCGTCGCCCGCCGACTACGGTCTATCTGACTTACGTCGCCTACCGACTACAATCCTTCCGACCTCTGTCGCCCGTTGACTACAATCCTTCTGACCTCTATTGCCCGCCGACTACGATCCTTCTGACTTTTGTCGCTCGTTGACTATGGTCCTTCTGACTAACGTTGTCCACCGACTACGATCATTCCGACCTCCGTTGCCAGACAACGGTCTTTGTGACCTCTGTCGCCCGCCGACTAGGATTCTTCTGACTTACGTCGCCCGACGACGGACCGACTACAGTCCTTCCGACCTCCGTCGTCTGCTGACTACAGTCCTTCTGACTTATGTCGCCAATCGAATGCGGTCATTCCGACCTCCGTCGCCCGCCGACTACGATCCTTCTGACTTACGTCGCCCACTGACTACGGTCATTCCGACCTCCGTCGCTAGACAACGGTCTTTATGACCTCCGTCGCCCACTGACTATAGTCCTTCCGACCTCTGTCGTCCGTCGACTATTGTCCTTTCGACTTACATCACCCATCAACTATGATCATTCCGACCAAACGAACATGTCAATAGTGACTCTTTGTATTCTCATTATGTACTTCATATGATGTACATCAAGCCAAGACCTTTCCCCTAAGGAAGAGCCTCAATTGTAATCAACTGCAAATAATAGTGGATTCATTCAAACTGGGCTAGGCATCATGGTTTTTTCCCATTTTCAAGGGTTTCCTGTGTAAATCTCTTAGTGTCTCATAAATGCTACACCCCCTCTCTCTTATCTACTTGCGTGCCGGATTTTCGTACAACGCTAAGACGCTAAACTTTTTATTTCTCTACCGCCGCGAATACTCCAGAACTTAACAATTATTATTTATTAGATCACTTAATTTTAGTACATAAAAAACTTTAAAAATAGAAAATGAAATTGATGCTAATTTCTAATTTTAGTCTTAGTTAATTTCAATATTGTCAAAAAAAAATTACAATATAAAAATAGTGATTAATTTCATTTTTTTATAATTTGTTTTATAATTTATTATTTCTAAGTTAAATTTTTTACATAAATATTGTTTTAGATAATTGAACAAGCATCTAAAATGATTTAGACAAAACATATAAAATAATTAAAAATGACCATGCAAACAACAATAGATACATCATCTTGCTTAATGTCACGTAAAGAATTACAAATGAATTTATAATGCAATTTATTCAAGCTGATTACAGATAATGCCCTTTCTCGGAGTGTAAATCCTTTGGTGGGTGCAAATATACTATATTGCATATTGCGGTTAGAAGAATCCAATTGTTGGATCCTATTTTGTTTGGTGGATGTGTCGGGCCATACTATATGCCATCGATAGGAGAAGTGCACATGAGGAGAATGTACTGAAGAATGAATTTAGAGAAAGAGAGAGATACAAGCAAATAAAAAGCTAAAGTTTGAGATTACAAAGAAAGAAATAACATATTGTTGACCTCATTTTTGTATGAGATCATCAGTATCCATTTAAATCTCTGTGCAGATTTGATAGTTGACAATTAGTCATTTTTCAATCATCTAGTTTCCAGCCACACTTCAATTCAGACTTCAATAGACTTTCAATCTAGACCCTCAATCAAACTTCAAATCCTATCCAATCAATCTCAATCATTCATTTGGTTATGATGGATGTGAGTAATTCAAACTCAATCATTCAAATGTAAAAACCAGTTCAAACCCTAAATCCAAAACCAAAAAATTAGGGTTAAGGACTCGGGTTCTAAAACCCTTTCTGAGTGATTTTTCAATCGCCTTGAAATCCAGTCAAATAACATATGATTCATGATATGTTAGTTGCATATTGATCAAACATGTTTTCAAGGACAACCCTCAAAATTTGAGCTCAATCTGACACTTTCTAACCCTAAAAATTGAATTGATTTTCAAAGGTTGTAAAATCATCAAATATTTATAGTCTATGCCATTAGACTTGTCACTTTATGAAATTTGACCTTGACACCCTGCCTATGACCCTTGACCATATCCATAGCCTTTGTTATGACATGCTGACCAGTAAATTATATTTTACTGGACCCAATTTGGCCTATAGTTGATCAGGGCTCAAAATGACTAAAATGTCATTTAAGGGCAAATTTGGACTTTTGTGCATTAGAATCAAACTAAGTTCTTGGTTTGACCAGGTTGACCAAGTCAATCATGATTGATCAAATTGCCCCTTAAGGGTTCAAATGGTCATTTCAACTCAAATGAACATTACATGGCATGGAACCACCTTCGTTATTCTCAAAACGCTCATTTGAACATGTTAAATCTAAACTCTACCCATGATTTGATCAGGTTGACCAAGTTAATCATGGATGATCAAATCAAACCCTTAATCTACATCGTTGTCAAAAATCAACTCCTGAACCCATTTCAAATTAAATCAACCCTTCGAAGCCTTTCAATTGGACATCTTTAATATCTCCAAAATTTTCCAAGTCAAATCTCCCTTGGTTTGATTTGGTCAACCCATTTAAAGGGGTCAAACACCCTCCATTCTCATGCATTTGGACAAAACTTCAAACCCTTGACTTTAAATACTTTGCCACACACTCGACCAGCTAAATGTATCCTCTTGAATGCCACATCATCCCTATTGATTTGTTTAACCAATCAAATGGTCAAATTAGACTTCAAATGAGCTTAGGAGGCCATGCCACATAAGCAAACTCTTCCTCCCCATCAAGAACTGCTCAAACCTAACGGAAATGAGTTCATTTCCTCGTTTAAGAAGGCCTTAACTAAGCTTTGGTTTAGTTTAGCTAAATGATGAGTGCTGCAGCTTCTCTCCTTGGAGGGCCAGGTTTTTTTGGCAACCAGGAGGGTTTTCCTGTCTATTTTCATCCCGTGCCGCCGGTTTTTTGGCTGCAGCAATAACTGAGTCCTGATTTTTTGTATACCACAATTTTGTTTATTTACTTGTAATTGGGGGTGGTATAGGTTTTTCTTTTACAGTGTTTCTTTTTGTTGATGTAATTCCTGCTGTCCTCCTCTGGTTTTTGCTTGGGGTTGGACCTTTATTCTGTAATTTTTCTTAGTCAATGAATGGGCTTATGCCCCAAAATTTCCCAAAAAAAAAATGAGGGAAAAGGCATGTGGTCCCCCTCCACATGGGCTAACTTAGTTCCACTCACCACCTCCCCTCTCCCCTGGCTTCTAATAGCCTTAGGACACTTGGCATGCATCCAAGCTCCTCCCAACTCAATCCAAGCCATTCAATCAAAATCAGGGGCTTAAGGTGGGGAAACTCCAATTTCATAAATAAATTTTCTATTGTTATTTTAATCGAGAGTTTTCATAAGAAACTCCAATTTCATACAATGTTAATTAACTACGATGTTCAAAATCTCCTTTGATATTGCATCTTTATATAAAAATTGAATTATTTTAATATAAATATAATTTAAATTTAATCGATTAATCATATATAATAATATGTTATACTTATTTTATAGTAAACTTAATAATTTAAATTTCATTCTAATACAATTTTAATAAATTAATTTTACCTGGCATTGCATTTATATTAATTTAATAAAAATTTTAAATTAAAATAAATATATGTAAAATTGTTAGTATATTTTTAATTAAAATAAATAATTATACATAAATATAAATTTTTAATATAAATATAA